TTTATAACTACTGTTTCTAAGAAACATAGTCAACTCCTGGTCAAATTCACTTGCTCCATCCTTAGACCTTAGAGGGACTCTGCCTGTGCTGGAGGGAGGAGCACCTGCACTTTGCAGCCTTCTGGGCACCATCTGAGGATTGGATTCAGGTGTTCTGTCAAGGGGCAAGTGATTGACTGCACACGGCCTGACACAGCCCTGAGCTTATCAGGTCAGCTATGGAATACCCACTTAGACCAGGCATTCCATAGGAAAGTCCTCCTGCTTGGTTTGCAGTAACTCTAGGATGAGGTAATAACATCATCTTTGGGGGGGGGGGTTGGTAATACTAAAGCTGAGGAGGTACAGCATCTGCTACAGGCCACACTATAGGTCAATATGGGGCCCAGAGAGCTGCAGTCTAACCACAGTTCCAGCATGCATCCCTTTCCTAATCTTCCCACTACCTTAGGAAACCAGAGCTACCAAGGGTTCCACATACACTGTGCATAGATTGGGCCCGGGGTATGGCTTCATCAACCATCCCACTCCTGTGGTGGCCTCTGGCTATGCTTCCCCCTGACCTGTGACTTGCCCCAACCTGTGTGAAGGGCTTCACAGGCACAAATGGACAGATGGGCACTTGTGCAGCCGAGCTCCCTGTGCTTCAGCAAAATCATTGGAGAAGGTGGCCTGAGACACACTCAAAGGATGAGAGCCCAGAGCAGCCTGCTGGCCGGCATGGGGCACAGAGCCAGGTCCAGCAGAGGCCTGACTACTTGACCATCTCAGGCCACACACACAGATAAGCACAAGAACAAACTGAGCTTCTGTGCACTGCTGAGTTTTCCAGGGAGTTGCTCACAACATTGAAGAGAAATGATAGCTGACAGCTTTTCAGAGTGAATACTAAAACCATGTAGCTATCTAATTATTCAAAAACACTTCCCAAATTCAGCCCTGTGGGGTAGGGCATGGTATTAGGAAGAAAATTGTATTCTGCCTCCTCACCACTACTATTTAGCAGCAGCATCACCACCACTACCACCACACCAGTACCACCATCACCATGACCATTATCAACACTACCACCAGCATCTTGACTACCATTATCACTACCATTACACCATCATCACCATCATTACTATCACCACCACCACCATCACCATCATCATCATCTCCATTCCTACTATCACCAACACCATCACAATCATCTTCACAACCATCATCACCATCGTCTCCATTCTATCACCATCATCATCATCACCACCATCATTTCCATCACCACATCACCACCACCACCATCATCATCTCCATTCTATCATCACCACCATCACCACCACCATCACCACGACCATCACCACCATCATGACCACCACCATCATCACCATCACCACCACCATCATCACCATCACCACCATTATCACCATCACCACCATCATCGCCATCACCACCATCATCATCGCCATCATCGCCATCATCACCATCATCATCGCCATCATCACCATCATCACCATCATCATCACCATCACCGCCATCATCATCGCCATCATCGCCATCATCACCACCATCATCGCCATCACCACCACCATCGCCATCATCACCATCACCACCATCATCATCGCCATCATCACCACCATCATCACCATCACCACCATCACCATCACCACCATCATCGCCATCATCACCATTATCATCGCCATCACCACCATCATCATCGCCATCATCACCATCACCACCATCATCATCACCATCATCACCATCATCACCACCATCATCGCCATCACCACCATCATCGCCATCGCCACCACCATCATCACCATCACCACCATCATCATCACCACCATCATCATCGCCATCATCACCATCATCACCATCACCACCATCATCATCACCATCATCGCCATCATCACCACCATCATCGCCATCACCACCATCACCATCACCACCATCATCATCACCATCATCGCCATCATCACCACCATCATCGCCATCACCACCATCACCATCACCACCATCATCATCACCATCATCGCCATCATCACCACCATCATCGCCATCACCACCATCACCATCACCACCATCATCATCACCATCATCGCCATCATCACCACCATCATCGCCATCACCACCATCACCATCACCACCATCATCATCACCATCATCGCCATCATCACCACCATCATCGCCATCACCACCATCACCATCACCACCATCATCATCACCATCATCGCCATCATCACCACCATCATCGCCATCACCACCATCACCATCACCACCATCATCATCACCATCATCGCCATCATCACCACCATCATCGCCATCACCACCATCACCATCACCACCATCATCATCACCATCATCGCCATCATCACCACCATCATCGCCATCACCACCATCACCATCACCACCATCATCATCACCATCATCGCCATCATCACCACCATCATCGCCATCACCACCATCACCATCACCACCATCATCATCGCCATCATCACCATCACCACCATCATCGCCATCATCACCACCATCGCCATCACCACCATCATCACCATCACCACCATCATCATCACCACCATCGCCGCCACTGCCACCATCATCACCACCACCATCGCCATCACCACCATCATCACCATCACCATCATCACCATCACCATCATCGCCATCACCACCATCATCATCTTCACCACCACCATCATCACCATCACCACCATCATCATTGCCATCATCTCCATCACCACTATCATCACCATCAGCACAACCGTCCTCCCTTCCTGTGGTCAGCCTTGCATGCATCTTTACTGACTTTCCAGAGTAGCTCATGATTCATGATTTCATTTTGTACTTGGCGGCTGTAATCACAAGAGTCATATCTACATCCATTTCAGTAAAATCTGAACCCTTTCATCTTGATGACATAAACAAAGCTCCAGGTGTACCATCACCCACATGATTTATGAGCTACTCTGTGTGCTTCTGAAAACCTCCAACTAGATCTGACAAGGAAGCCGGGTGACCTTCACAGGAGGAGTGTGCTGGAGCCATCACGGGAGAACTCCCTCCCTAGACTCAGACATGCTGGGCAGAGAGAAGCCAACTGCTGGATTAGATTTTGTCTTAGTACTCTGCAATCAGAGCCATGTGTAGCTCTTGCTTTGCCCATGCTGTCAGCCTCCTGAACATTCTGTCCTCTCCTGCCTGTTCCAAAGCCTGGCCCGAGCCCTGCCTTCTCTCTGGGTCCCGCAGTCCTCCTCACTCCTTTCCCACTCTGTAGGTCATGGATGTTCAAACTGTGCTTGGTGGGGGGATGTCTCTCTGCTCCGAGTTGAAAGGACTTGAGGTGGGGGATCCTGGAGGAACACAGCCAACTGGAGAAGGGACTTCAGAAATCTGAGTGAAATATTGCAGAGCCAACCAAGGATGGAGTTGGGCTCTGGAGGCTGGAGTGTGAGAAGGAAAATGTCACCGCCAAGGTTCTGGTCATGTAACCCAGGACAACAGCACTAACTTTGATCCAAACAAAATTCCCATTTGCTTTTTCTCTTCTATCTTCAACAGAAGCACCGAGCAGGTGGCATTAGCCTGTCCTGAGAGGGGCTCTGCCACATGGTGAGGGCAGGGACATTCCTAGCATGTCACACAGGTCAAGCTAAAGCATTCACAGATGCTCCTGTCTAAGAGGAGGAAAATAGGTTCAGGAAGGTTGAGGGACACATCCCAAGTCACACAGCTTCAAAAGGCAGAACCAGATCCGAATCTTCTGGGCCAGAGTCCACACCTTTGCCTTCTCATTAATGGATGTCTTCTAAAGTAAGTAATTGTGAAACTCTAGAAAGAAAAGACTGATGCAGTTTTGATAGCATATTTTAATCTAATAAAAATGATTAAATTCAAAGTTCAGAAATATAAAAGATTATTCAAAACAGTTGGGATCATACTTATTTCATAGACAATGCTGACATGCACTTGAGCTGGTCAGGGCCTCAGAGGCTGGATTCTTACCTCTACCCAGTGGTCAGAATGAGCAAAGGCCTCCAGGTATGCACATCCACAGACATACACTGGAGGCCAGGAACAGTTGTCCAAACAGAAGCCTGAGCTGAGAGACTTGCCCCAGCTCTCCCTTATCTGCAAAAGGCTCCTGGAGGACAGTGAACATAGACTGCCCAAGGAAACAGGTCTGAGGGTGGCAGTCAACCATGCGCACAGGCCAGTCCTGTCTCCCGCAGTGTGGGCATTCAGTTCCCAACTGTCTTCCCGCAGGGGCATCAGATAAAGCCGGTGGCTGGTCTCACACCCTGAGTCCTCAGCAAAGTGAAAAGAGCAGCCTGGGCTGCCTGCTGTTCCACACCCATGAGATGATGTAGTCTAGCTGTGCCTTCCACAGGACATGGTCCATGGTCTCTGCAGAGACGGTTTCCCTTTCCAGTAGGCCTCAGGGAGGGGCCTGGCAAAATGGGATGGCCATGTAGTAGGAGAGGCAGGTGGATCACATGCTGAGCCAGCAGGATGGAGCCAGTCTGCCAGAGTTAGATTTGCTCTGAAAGAGGCCTCTCTGACTGCCTGTTCACAGCTCCCTGGAGATTTAACAGCAAGATTAGTTCAAGCAGAAGGCAAAATTTGGGCAGAAGCTCAAACTGGATACAAAGAGTCTGTGTTCTCCACTAGAAGCTACTTGAGGTTATGGCTGTGCGCCACACTGGTGCCCGCCTGACCCATTGTGTGAGCAACAACTGGACAGCGAAAGTGGGCACATGAACACAAAATCTGGCAGCGCGGGAGACCAGGGACCAGAGGCCCGAGCATGGGCCTGTATGGCACTGAAAACATCCAAGGGCACGAGCAGCTTCCGCTCACATCAACAGCACTGGGGCGCAGAAGGGCAGGAGAAAAGGTGGAGGAAACGCTACAGCCGTGAAGCAGGCCTCCACAAGGGCAGGGAAGTGACGCTGAAATTCGTTCAAAACCCAGCCCCGCCAGCCCCGCCAGCCCCGCCAGCCCCGCCAGCCCCGCCAAGGTCAGACAAAGACACATACATTGTATGTGATTAATTTTCTGAAGCCAGCCTTCCATTTTCACAGATCAAAACAGTCCGTTTAAATATCTCATTTCTACAAAGTGAATTTACATATAAAGTACAAAGTGCAAATACTATGTTTTGGTTTTTAATTGCTCTTTGGTGAGGGAGATTCCCACATGTCTAGGAACTGCCTTGGGTAGTGACCATTCATCCTTGCTTCCTGGGCTGGAAAAAAGAAAAGAGAACAATCATATAAAGGTGCCTCTGTCTTACCTACACAGACAAAGCGTTGCGTCCCAGAGAGGTAAATGGGATGAAGCAGTATGTAAAATCAGACAGGAAGGACAGAGCACCTCAGACATAAGGATGGATGAGTAGGGACATTGTTCATAGTGCCTCCTTCCCTTTAAATGACCGGGAAAATACTTCATCTGAGAAAGGTCACATTTACTTCCAATAGTTAAGTGAACTGTGCATTAAATCTTCTGCAGACACTCCCACTATGTTGGACTCACTACAGAGATAGTTTTCATTGTCTGGTTTCTGCTTCAGATTTGACAAAACTTTGGTGGAAACAGACATGTCACCATCCCAGACAGCTTTTTGGCAATGCTCAATCCATTTACCTCCAGTTATGTTTAATTCTTTAATTATTTGCCAGAAAAATGATCTGATAAGTCAAATGGAAATCCACTAATGAGTGATTTGTCAGCCACCTCTCCTAGTTATCAGTGTCATTCAGAAGACTTATCTCACCCCCAAAAATCTTTTCATTCAAAGCATGAGATTTGAATATGGAAAAACTTAAACACACATAATAGTACTTGAGAGAAATTTGGGGAGTTAAAACCCAGCCTAACCTCTCAAATCACAACCCAAGGACATTTGGGGACACAAATCAGACTCTGGGAGGGGAGGGGAGGGGAGAGAGAGAGAGGGGGAGAGAGAGAGAGAGAACCTTAGACCTTTTTTACTGAGTGCTGCAATTCTTACAGATAGAAGTTGATCTCTTTGGATGTCTGAAATATTAAACTTTAAAGTTTAGGCTGTCTTTGGTTATGTTTACAGGACCACACTTGAGTTTCCTCCCATTGAGTGGGCTTTTACTCCAATCAGGTAGCTGTTGATTGCCCCCAAGATAAAAGTGCCACTACTGCACCAATCATATATGCCGTGCTGGCCACTGATGTGGTTATTTGGTCTTGAAGCTGGTGTTGGACCATCGATTGATGTTTCCCCTCGGCACCTTCACAGCGCTCTCCAAAGCTGTGAGGGCTACCGCCAGGGGAGGTGGTTGCAGGCCAGTTCCAGCTCTATTGCTCCAAATCCTGTGTCTGAAGTACACACAGGGCTGGAATGGTCATAGGTCTTAGAGAAAACCCCAAGACTGTCACATCCCTAGACTAATGTGATTTCTTACTATGTGCAAAATATGAATCCTTATATTTAAATACAAATATCCTAGTTACCACTCATCAAAGAAGCTCGTTTTGCACCATTTGGAGACTATTGCCAACTACCACAATTGGTCACACATGGACATTGTCTATGAATTCCCCAGGCCTAAGTGCCACATCTACAATACAACCTCTACACCTCAGGCTCACAGAACATAGAACAGGGGTAAAGAAGAAGATACTAATGAATCTCTCAATTCTCATTAATGAAGCTCCCTCATGCATCAGAAGGTCAGGAACACCAATGGCCAAAGCATAGAGATCAAGAGTCTGCTGAACGCTGTTCTTTGGACAGGACTCCTTTATTAAACTTCTCACACCCAAGGCCCAAGGACCATCTTGGAAGAGGGGCAGAAAGATTGTGAGAGCCAGGAGGAGGTGCAGGACCATATGGAGACAGAGTCCTACAAGCTCCTGGAACCTGCTCAGGTGACTGTATGACAATGGTGTCAGCACACACAAGACCCACACAAACTCAGGCAGACAGTAACCCAGCATAGAACTGAGGAAACAAACAGCAGACCCCAATCTTACCTGAAGAAATATCGGCAACAGATTGCTGCTGGGTGAAGAAGAGCTGATCTTCCTAAAACAAGGGACTCTAGATAGGCTGACTAGACCTCAGTGGAGGGACTTGCACTGGGGAATGTCTGGGGACACTGATTTGACACAGTGGGCCTTCACAGGGATGACAGAGAATATGGACTCTAGTAGGGGTTGGGGGGCTTATGTGGGGTGCTGGTGGGGACAGGGGTATAAAGATAATTAAGATTGATTGAGATGTTCTATATGAAATGCACAAAATTTCAATAAAAACAAATTAAAAAATAAAAGTTTTATTGGCTCCTTCCCTCTAATAACACCATAGGAGGCACAGAAGTCCTGTACCAAGCTAATGAAAGCTTTGTTTTAATTAGTTATAGAAAAAGACAGTCTGTTAGCGTATTTCAGCAATTACTAAAGATGATCAGAACAGGGTGGGAAGATGTCTAGAAAGACAGCTCACTATCTGATTTCTGGCTGGCTGGTCCAGGGTTATGGTGCACAGTTTGTGGGGGCGGGGTGGCATGACTCTGCACTGAGGGGCACGACTCTGCGCTGAGGGAGCACGACTCTATGCTGAGGGGCACAACGCTGCACTGAGGGGCACGTCTCTGCAGTGAGGAGGGGGCATGACTCTATGCTGAGGGGCACAACTCTGCACTGAGGGGCACGTCTCTGCAGTGAGGAGGGGGCACGACTCTATGCTGAGGGGCACGACTCTGCGCTGAGGAGGGGGCACGTCTCTGCACTGAGGGGCACGACTCTGCAGTGAGGAGGGGGCACGACTCTATGCTGAGGGGCACGACTCTGCGCTGAGGAGGGGGCACGTCTCTGCACTGAGGCACTGAAAGGAAGGATGGAGACAGAAACTGCACTGGTCTGGGAAAGGATGCTGAGGAGGGAGGCTTCAGTGGGGGATTGAGATTGAGTGGTGTGTGTGTGCCAACAGTTGCCATTATGCAATGCAAACAGGCCTTGGGAAGTCTTGGGGTAATTACTCTTAGGCCTGCACCCTTTGCAAATGTAAGTGATTTGCAACGTGACTGGAAAAGTTCAAACCATAAACATTCACTAAACAAAGGAAAACGAACCACACGTCCTTCCTAATGAAATGGTTTTAAATTCCCTCCAAGGTGTGCAGTGGGGGTCCCCACTTAGAACCCACAACAAATACAGGGAACCTCAGCCTGGCATCAAACAGGTGCAGCCAAAGTAAACAGCAAACAGACCAGCATCATAGAGAACACCAAGTCTGCCTGGTCTTGAGGGAGGGAAAGCAAACCTTGTCCCCTGGAAAGCGCCCCCTCTTAGGCTGTGGCTGGGATCCTGGACCACAACTGTGCCCTTTAATTGCACATCTAGAGATGTGGACTCAGAAACACAAATGTTCATAAACACACACAGCAGGGGACTGAAACATCTCTTTGGGAGCTGAACTCCTGCCTCTCTAGGTCTCCCGGTGAATGGAATATTTGCGGGGCACCCAGAGTGTCTACTGTCTCAGCCATCTCCTTAAGATATGAACTGCAAATACCCTGACCTGCCATTTCCACCACACAGACTCAGGAACTCATCTTAGAATTAATAAATTGATTGAAGTGTCAAATAATTAAAAAATGAGAGCAGAATACTTAAATCAACGACTTGGAAAGTTGGTGATTGCAGATAGAATTTAGTAAAGAAGTTCCGGTCCCAGGCCTGGTTGTTATATGCAGCCTCTGTTGAGCTGCGTTCTTTCCAAAGGTACCACACCCTCCGGCCTATGTGGACCCTGATTTCTCCTGTGAAGTATAAGTAAATGAGAAACTATAAAGTCTGAAACACAGACACTCACCTGTCTATTAGAAGCACTTTCAGTATTTCCTCTGGGAGCTAGAAGGGGAAGAAGGACATCATCACTAATCAAGTCCTCTCTTAGCAGGCTGGATAGCCTACTAATGGCAGACTTGGTCAAATGACAGCTTATCCATAGAGACCCTGAGCCCAGGTCAGGAGCAGTGGGTTTTAAATGTCCTGATCCACTGTTGGAAGATGCCTCCTTGTATCCCAAATCCCAAGTGTGGATTCACTAACCACAGAGAACAATCTCCCAGAACTTTTCCAGAAGAGCACAGATTCGGAGCCTGAACCCCACACCAGCACAAGTTCAGTTCTTCGAAATGTTTTCGTTCTTGGGGCTGGAGAGATGTCTCAGTGGTTAAGAGCACTGACTGCTCCTGAAGAAGACAGAGTTCAGTTCCCAGCACCCACATGGGGGCTAACAACCATCCGTAATTCCAGTTCCGGTGGATCCGACACCCTCTTCTGACCTCTGCAGGCATTTCACGACACAGGTGCACTTATATACATGCAGGCAATACACTCATACACATAAAAAATTAAATATTTTAAATAAAAGTGACCCCCCTGGCCTTTATGGACAGTAGTGCTCCACTCACTAATAGTTAACAGACTTCTTTGGACTTCATTGATGTAGAGGCTTGAGGAGGGGGGCAGTCTGCTCCCAGGATGCTGGGAAGAAGACCAAACAGCTGTCCTTGGGGTGCCAGGGCAGGGGTAGTTCCCCCTTTTATGTTTTTACATACATCAAAGGCGGTCTGTTACTGGGCCATTTTCCACAGCCTTGGATGCGCTGTGCTTGCTTTCTCATTGTTATGATGGGAAAATTCCTATGTGTTTTGTACTGCTTGAGTGCTTATCACATGTAAACTCTGTGTGAACTTCAAACACTGACCTTCCAACAAAAATGTGTGTGTGTGTGTGTGTGTGTGTGTGTGTGTGTGTGTGTATATCTGTGTGGGACTATGTGCACATGAGTACACTGCCCTCAGAGGCCAGAAGAGGGCATCAGATCCCCTAGAACTAGAGTTACAGACAATTGTTACTGCCATGTGGGTGCTAGGAACTGAACTCAGGTCCTCTGCAAGAGCAGCCAGTGCTCTCAACTGCTGAGCCATCTCTCCAGCCCAAATTCCAGTTTTCTTATGCTCAGCATTTGTATATTTGTCATGTGATTCTTGCTTTTATGTTTTATCCCTAGAGATGTTCCCGAAAGTCAACAGTGCAAAAATATAGCTTAAAGTTCAATAGAGACAAGCAGGTACAACAGCTCTGCTTCCAAACCCTGTCCTGATTCCACGTTTCCCAGTGGCCCTCCTGTACACTCTCAGCTCCCTCAATGCACCGTGCAGACCCCAGTTCTTCCTGCACAGCCCTTTCTCTCTGTGACCTGTACCACATGGTTTTCTGGAAGGTGACGATGGATGTCTTTCCTGTTGTGTCTGTGTCCCCAGTATGTGGTCACTCAACACTACACAACTACTTTATGATCCAGGCTAGACCTCTGACATTGAGAAGTGCCTCTTGCTAATTTTCTGCAAGAAGTCAAATCTGAGAAAATGGAGTCTTCTTTTGAAGACAGCTGTATGAGTTCCCTGTAGTCAGTAGATCTAATGCTGTGCTAATCGCAACCAGCACAGTTCAGCGGCACAAAGGGGCCCAATGTTCTCTCATTCCATACACGGTCCCGTGCTAATGAAGAGCCTTGGGGCCATCTGCCCTGGAATTCCCTCTGTTCCTGTTGCAGACAGACATCTCCAATGCAAAGCCAGCTAAAGGCACTGGAAAAGCTGGTCGAATGGGGGCGATGATTTTACCGTTTCTGACCTGGACTCAACATTCTGGTGGAGGTACAGACCAGTCAGTTATCTGCAATGGCTCTGATGCTGGAAGCTGAGATGTGTCTAGAAAGCTGGCCACTGGGATTCAAATACTAACGGGCTTGGTTCAGCTATTCTCAGCTCACGCTCCTGAAGCCTGATGCTTTCCTGACCAGGAGGCAGGCTGCTAACAATCTGTCATCATTCCTACAGGTGGACGGGCAACAGCAAGCAGAAAGCGCGCATGCTCCAAGTCCCCTGTATGAGCGTACCAAGAGGCAGCCTGTAAAATACAGGAACACCCCGACACACACATGCACACAAGGTGTCACACACACACACACACACACACACACACACACACACACACACACGCACCCAACACGAGTCAAGGGCAAAGCCGCAACACACACACACACACACACACACACACACACACACACACACGCGCACGCACCCAACACGAGTCAAGGGCAAAGCCGCAGGGAGAGACTTACTGTGGCGCTTGCCGGTGTTGGCTTTGCCCTCCTCCCTGGTGACACCCAGGCAGCCCATCAGCTCCTGCACAGAGATCGACTTGTCGTTGTCCCCATCACAGTATTCCACAAACTTCTTCACACACTTTTTGGGCTTGGATTTCTTCCGCAGGAACCTCTTAAAAGGCTTGATTTCCTTCTTGCTGATGTCACCACTAGAGTTCTTATCCAGCACCTTGAAGTACCAGTGCACCACCCTCTCCTCCAGGGTGTGGCTAGGGTCAGGCTCCGACAGCCTACAGGGGACACAATCCTGTCAGGACCAAAGGTTGTGGCTGCTGTGCCTCACCACCCTGCTGGCCACCTTCCCTCCGTGTCCATGCCTGCAGATCTGCAAGTGTGGTCAGAGTCACACATGCCAGGACGTGTGTGCTGCAAACATGCAGTTCAAGTCCTTGGAACAAAGGCCATTATCCTGAGTTCTGGGCTCCCCTCAGCCCACAGCTTCCACCTAAGGTAAGTGGAACTCCAGGGTTTCTGCCTTTAATGCATGCATTTACCTACTGTGTATGTAAGATACTTAAATACAAAAGGTTAGTGGAAGAGATCAAAACATTTAAAGTTGTAACTAGATAGCTTCCTTTGAATTAAAAAGCTGGACATTTAAGACAGGAGTAAGTCAGGCTTTGATTCAGACTCCAAGGCTGTGCTATACAGCCACTTGAACCTGTGACCCCAGGTGGAGGACCTGAGTCACCCTTCCTTTGGGGGTCTGAAGACTCTACCACCCACTGGTTTGAATGAATTTTGCCTTCAGGAGACTGCAGACATAGCAAGTAGATGCCAAAAGCGTCCCCCCCCCCAGGAACCAAGGCTCCCTGCCACTTTCTGCTGCCTGTCAGATGCTCAGAGGGGTGGCTCAGCCATTTCAAAAGTATGAGATGTAAAGCTGAAATTTAGGTGATTTTTGCCATATTTAACTTATTACACAATTGTGCCATTTTTCAGATAGCACCATGCTCTCCTGTGTCTTCTTTAGTAAAGAAACAGCCAGGTGAAGGTCACTCTGCTGAGGAGACTTCAGTCTTTAAACTGTCTCAGACAAGTGAGACACCAGGAGCGTGGGTCAGGAGGGGATGGAAACTAATGTTTTCAGGACACAGAGGCATCAAACTTCCATTAGGAAATTTCTTGAAAGGGTACAAGGAATGAGTGCAGCACAGAGGGGTGCTTCTAATGTTTGAGGTACCATGGCTCTTCCCATGCGGAGCTCATCCCTGTGCTTTATAAGATAGAGGTATGCACAGGAACATGCTTCTAACATGGAATAGAAGTCAAGTCTATGTGTCTGTGGGGCATGCTGTGGAACTGACAGTTGGGAGGGTCAACACCTCCATGTTGTACGCTTGAACGTGGACAAGGGGTTAAGTGTCCTGTGCCGTGTAATTTTCCACAGTAAATAAGTCACATTTTGAGAATTTTGGTTTGCACAATTACGAAGTATTTAAAATCCAGTAGTAACTCTTGGATGCAGTTCCAGCCATTACCCCCACTGAAGCAGGTGCTTTGCCCTCCTGCATTCCCAGGAGCCCTGAAAATGAAGGGTGCAGCTCTTCTGGGCGGCTTCCTGATCCGCAGTGTTTCTTCAGACCTACCCACATGCACGTGAGCTGCCTGGTCTTACGTGGCTGCTGGCCAGGAGGACTTCAGCTTTCCAGATTTTTTCAAATTTCTGGGATTCTGGCCAGCATATCACTCTGCGGTGAGACTCTACATACCTGCCAGAGGAGGAGGAGGGGTCAGAGACGGCATGGACCATGTCTGTGGAGAGAGCGTCCAGGACGCTAGTCAGAAATTCGTGCTTTTTTGCACCAGGGCAACCTGAAGGAAAAGGAGACACATTTTTTTCACTGTTTGTGGAATTCACAGAGTGTAACAGAGTTTTCTGTATGATGATGGAAAGGGAGATTTTAGTACTCCAAAATTAGAACATAAGTGTTGATCATAAATTATAGCTGCTACAAATCACAGTAACACGAGTTGAATCATGACTTGAGACTGAGAGCCAGACTTTAGTCCTTGTGTATCTTCAAAACCACACCAAGACACTTGTGGCCGTCCCTTTCTTACGCCAGAGCGCTGGGTAGTTTTTGTCAGCTTGACACAAACTAGAGTCACCCGAGGGAGGTCAAACTGGCCTGTGCGAATGGTTGTGAGGCATTTTCTTGATTACTAACTGATGTAGGAGGGCTCAACTCACTGTGGGTGGTGCCATCCCTAGGCTGTATAAGGAAGGTAGCTGAGCAGCCCAGGGGAAGCAAGCCAGTGAGCAGTGTTCCTCCATGGTCTCTGCTCCAGGCTCCTGCCTTGAATTCCTGCCCTGACCTTCTGCAGTGATGGACTGTGACCTTGGAGTTGTAAGATGAAATAAACCCTTTCCTCTTCCAAGCTGGTTTTAGTCAGTGCTTTATCACAGCAACGGAAAGCAAGATACTTGGAAACATCAGGAGATACCAAATTTTCCATGCTGGGATCCACAGTGGGAAGACTAACCCAGGGCAGTGACTCCAGAGGCTGCCAGTCACTGCTACACCCCTCCTGGAACTCCAGGTCTGGTCAGAAGCCACACAAGGCAGCTTCATGGTCGCCTTCTTAGGGTGGATCCAAGTCTGAATATCAGCTAAACACACATCAAGGGAGTTCATGCCCATGTGTGCGGGTTCTGCAGTCGCAGGAATTAATTCACCAATTTCGTTACCTAAAGCTCAACTTTCCACAGAGCATTTTACATGCATGGTACCCCTTCTTAACCAGCCCCTCCTTTGTGCAGCCTCACTTGGGATTGGTTCTGCAGTCGCAGGAATTAATTCACCAATTTCGTTACCTAAAGCTCAACATTCCACAGAGCATTTTACATGCATGGTACCCCTTCTTAACCAGCCCCTGGGACTCCTCTCTGCCCTCCATGTGAGACATGGTCCCCACCCTGACAGCTGGGTAGGCAGGGACCAGCATGCATGCAGGTGTGGTTAAAGATACTCTAGTAGCTTGACTTTCCTTTGAACACCTGAGTTTTTGTTACCATGATTCAAGTATGCGTTAGCTGCCTGTGGCAGGAGTCCATGAAAACCTGTTTCAATTTATTAAACACACTAGCAGAAAACAGATGTGACTCATTCATAGAGTATGTGGAACTTGAGATTAGAAAGATTGTGTGTGAATCTCCTCTGTGTACAATTAAAGCAGATTACAATCCATAGAAAAAGCCCAAAGCTATGGGGAGAGAGGGTTGCTCTCTGAGAAGAAGGTCCTGTGTCCCCTGAGAGGGAATTGGAAGCCTGGGGCTGCAGGGGTGGCCGTCAGTCAGCGCCCTGCAGAAACTGCCAGAAGCCACCCCTGCTGGGCAACCAGAGCCAACAGGGCATTGACAGTATGAAAACAGGGGACAGAAGACATAGCAGGGAGATCTGATGGATCCTCCTGAGCACATGCTCAGAAGCCAGCTGTCCCAGGAAAGAGATGAGGCAGCTGTGGGAACAGAGTGGACATATGGAACACCCTGGGGTGCTCCTGTGAGCTCCCCTGTGCTTCTCAGCCCCAAGAGATTCAGAAGGGATCATGGATTACATGACCATTGGTCACATCTGCTCAGAGAATGTCTCTCGAGAATCTGTGGTGGTGACAATCAGAGAGGTTGTTGCTGCTTGGGGTGGACACAGGGGTGAAGGGGTGAAGTCCTAATTTTATCTGACAGGAGGACACGGATAGGGATTTACTTTAGATTCTGATGGGCATGGATATTACAGCTTTAGGGGCACTGGGGGATAGAAAAGGATAGTGTTTATCCTCTCCAGAGAGGCTGAGGATGAAGGAGAGGGTGGTAGATTAGGACACATGTAGGCAATACACTCATACACATAAAAATTATAAAATATTTTTAAGTGTTTGATTTTGTTTATCTTTCAAAGAAACGTGTTTGCACTCTCCATGAAACACTCTTGTTTGAAAAAGCAGACTTGCCAGTGTGGTGGTGCAAGCCTTTAATCCCAGCACTCGGGAGGCAGAGGCAGGCGGATCGTTGCGAGTTCGAGGCCGGCCTGGTCTCCATAGTGAGTTCCAGGACAGCTGGGGCTACAGGGAGACCCTGTCTAAAAAAGACAAAAAAAAAAAAAAAAAAAAAAAAAAAAAATCCAGCAGACTTTTTAAATAAAAAAAACTGATTTCGGTCATTTTGCTCACGGTTTCCTTTCCTGTTTCCTTTCAGCATGACTTAGCACACGGTCCTTTGATTGCCGGGAAGGCTGCTCTGTAGACGCTCGTGATGAATTTGTACTTTCCCCCCATGACTCTTTAGCCCTCATGGCCACCACAAGAACCACCTCCCCGCAGAGGCAGTGAAGGCAAAAAGAGGTTGTGTGAGCCTAACCCAGATCTATACCGAGCTGGCCGTACGTGGCACAGAGGCGTTGTCTAAGTCCCACTCCAACAAAGCCTGGGAGACAGGGGTGGGCCGTGGGGATGGGGACCAAGCTCCTGAGCTGACCAACATCACGGGTCCAAAGGGTGCGGGTGCTGATGTACTTGTGCCAAGGGCTTGTTCATATTTGCTCAGGTTGGAAAGTCTAAGCTGTACCATTGCTACCAGTTGAGCAGGACGAACAGACGAAATATCCCCTTCTGTCTGCAGTTACTTCTCACTGACACCTGCCAAGCTGCTCTTTCTTCAAGAATTCTTGAACAAGCATTTCTAAGGTCCAAGGGGTCTGGCACATAGCTGTAGTGTGACAGTAGAGAGGGTGGATTACCATCCAGCTCAGGGCACGGAGCATTCCACCTGAGGCTTACACCCACTTCAAAATACTTCCACCACCACATCAGCCCCAGGTGCGCCTCAGCCTGGCAAAACTGATGAGTCTATTCATATTGAGACGGACAGAGAGACAGACATAGAAAGACAGAGATAGATGGAAGCCTGAATCGTACAGCAACCTAGTGGAGAATTGAAGATGGATGATCTGGGGAAGGGCTGGAGGAGGCCAGTGTATTGATCCTTTGACTGAATGAGGATCAAGGCCACTGAGTTCTCCTCACCCCTTAGAAGTCCATAGTGATGGGAACAAGAGATCAGGCCCTGCCGTGTGCACTTGACCTGGGGAGGAGGTGGTCCTCAGACGACTTCAGTCTCCTTGATGAGGGAGAAGGTGGGTAGCCTTGTGACCAGGCAGGAGGTTTCTGTGGGCCAAGCCTAGCTGGTGCCAGTCTGGTGTTCAAGGAAGATCAGGCACTTGAAGTGTGGGGAACTAGGAAAGCCTAAAACTTTAGGGACTGGGAATGGTCCTGGGCCACATGGTCTCTAGAACATGAGGTCTCAAGATACATGGTACTCTCACTAACCATTTTAAGATAACCATCTCCTCCTGTGTAGTCAGACACATGTAGGATGATGTACCTTTGGACCCAGGACCCCGTTCCTCCATCAAGTTCCTGGTGTCTCTCCTTATGTTTAACTAACACTCTTAACCTTTAACTTCAGGCCTAGGAAAAAATAGCCAAAATTTAGACATAGGAAAACAAAAAAAGTTTCCTTAAGCACTTCTGTTTTAGTTGCCTGCAGCTTGTAACGGTTGTACAGAGCCTGTCTGGATAACTGTCCTCCAGGCTGGAAGCTGGCCAGTGTGCCACGGGAGGGTGGGGGTTAGATGAAGAGAACACCTGCACGTGGGGCACTAAGCATCTTCTAGATGGAAAGGCACTGGAGAAAAATACATTAGACTTTGCAACATTAATGTCCTGGGAGCTGGCTCAGTCCGTCCATGGCTTACTTCATTAGGCTTCTAGAAAGGAGTCCAAACGCAGAAGTGATTTCATAAGTTTGTGATGTCTTTGTAATCTTGAAGATCAACACAGAGGAGAAAGGGCTCTGACAAAGCACCTCCCTGAGCTGCAGTTAACTGGTGGGTGGACTTGTGTCACGATGGGGCAACAGCACTTGGGCAAGAAATTTGCTAGAATTTCTGCATTCTAAAAGCAATTCCCAGTTTAGGTTGATTTTCAATATGAGTGTTGATGTCATTTTTGATAAAACATTATTAGAAATGTCTGCTTTATTTTTTTTCTTTTTCCTCCCCATAAGATGATGGTCGCTTTACATTGTTCATTGTCCATGCTAAGATTCAAACTGCATGCACAGATAGGTCAAAGGTCTCCTTGTGAACTCTGGGACCCGCAGTACTAAGCAAGTACTTACTAGAAAGCCCTGTACACAGACCACTTACCCCACTTCACCAGGGGCTCCCTTGCTGCTCAGTCCTTTGCATCTCAAAGCTCTAGGGATTCCTCACCCAAGATTACGAAGTGGGAGGAGCAACAGATCCACGGACCCATGGACCAGCAGGAAGGGGCTGATCTGATGTGTTTCCTGAAGACTCCCTGGTGGACACATTTCCCTTGAAGATATTTCCTGAACTTCAGTGGTTATCTCAACATGTCACACTGTCCAAAGTGCATCTGTTACTTTATCACTGGGCTTATTCCTGCCCAGTGAACGGAAGAGCACAAGGATCAGCTGGGTGACGAAGAGGGGCAGTCATCAGTCATTTTAGGGGTTGGGTTTGTCTGGTTCCTCATTAACACTCTCAGGAAGAAGGAAGGATGTGTTCCTTGTGGCTCAGAACCAACACCACCTTCCTCATGGCTCCGCTGGAGAAGAGGCTGGGCTTCAGGAAGCTCCCCAAGGGCAGCAGTGGACCCAAGAGGACCAGACGGGACCTCACGGTATACCAGGGTCACTTGCTGAGTGACAGTTTTAGTTGTCCCTATCTTAGGAGCCTTGAGAAAAGGCTCATAGCTGTTGGACCAGTACAGGCTTGGCATTGAGCTAC